TAGTAGCACATTATCAATTTCTATATAAATCTTATTGTACCACCAAAATCATATGACAAAATAATCTACATACCCCTACCCTTAAACCTATTTAAATTTTAAATAAAATATTTTAACAACTATTTAATTAGATTTAATAAAAGAATTTATTTAAACTTTATAGATTTATAATATTTAAATAAAAAAAAATTTATTAAATTTGTTAAATAGTTCTTTACTTAAAAAATAATATAGTTTTTATTTTAATAAATAGTTTATTTTAAAAAACATTTTAATAACTACTGTATTTTTTGCAATTTTATTGTAACTTCAACTCCAATTCCAACTCTAATTTTAATTTAATATTATATATAGTAATATTTTTTAATTAATTAAATTTAATAATTTATTTGAATTTTGCTAACTTTACTAGTAAAAATTATAAAAAAAAATTAAAAAATTAAATTATACAAACAAATAAAATTGTTTTTATTATCTATCTAGATAATTTTTTTTAAAAAAAATTAATAAAAATTTTTTATTAAAAAATTTTTAAAATATATTATTTTTTGCTACGTAGCTAAGTTCTATTTACCTATCTTATACTGTATAATAAAAAACCAACTAATTTAATTTGCATAGTTTATTAATAACAAAATACAGTATATTATTATAAATAAATCTATAAATACTAAATAAAAGTTTTATTACAAAATTTTATATATATTTATTTGACTTTAATTTTAACTTTAAAGTACAGTCAGACTTCTCTAAATGAAATGTGACGGGACCATATGTAAAAATTTGGCCAAACGTGCACTTAGAGAGGTATTGTATTTAGGGAAATAAATCTATAGGCGTAATATTAGTTGGACCAAAAGAAGACGTGCATTTAGAGAGGCTTTTCATCGAACGTGCACTTAGGGGGTTGCATTTAGGGAATTTTTAATAAATTTTAATTTATATTATTTAAGTTTATAAATTTATAAAAAGGTTTATTTAATTTGTTAAATAATTATAAAGATATTTTTTAAAAATTTTAAAAAATTAAAATATTTATTATACAGTATTATTTCAAATGGTTATTAAGATATACAGTATAGCTTGATTTAAATTTTAAAAAATTTTATTTTTACCAGAATTATAACTACAAAAACTAAATATAAAAAAAATAATTACCTGTTACTAGCACTTATTACAATTAAGGTTTTAAACAGTCGGCACAAATATGCTGTGCAAAAAACTTTTATTTATACAGGAATGTTATTTTATTTTTTGTGCATACTGCACAGTAATTGTCAATTTTTGTGCAAAAATAATACATGCACAACGAATTTTCTCAACCCTGGTTTTAAACAGTTTTGAAACATAATGCCCAAAACTGTTCAATTGGCCAATATGCTTTCACCCTTACCGTTACGTACGTACAAGGCCTAATACGTTATCGATTGCAATTTTTTTTCTTAATTAGATACATATGAATTATTTATCACAAGATATTTATAATATTTGCTTCTACAATATTATGTATATACAGTATGTATACGTATACAGTATATATATATATATATACTGTATAATAATTTAATATATTATTATAGTTTTCATAATGAATAACGTATTTTTACAGACTTAATTTAGCTTTAATACGTACGAAAAGCATAAAAAAATTTGTACGTAATTATTAAATGAAATTGATTGAAATTGATGAATACCTATTTTTACAATTGACTTATAACGTAAAATGTTGAACATGAATGAATTTTATTAACATTGTTTATGCTATAACATGTAAAAAACGAAGTATTTATAGTGAAGAATTTTTTTGAAATGTTGAGATTATTTTGCCTTTTTAAAAAAATATTTAAGAGAAATTCAGATTTGCCATTAATAAAAAAAATAAATCTAATATATTTTTTTTTACATGAATGTCTTAAGAAAAAAAAAAAAAATAGCAAACTCATCGTTTGCAACTATACAAAAGAAGAAGGAAAAAAATATTACAAGAAAAATTTTGTACAAAATTAGTTTTTTTTTTTTTTTCGTAGGAAAAAAAAAAAAAAGTAGCGTTCCGAATTTGCACTCAGTGCGAGGCGACGCGCGTCGGGATTACGAAAGTAACAAAAAGATTCACGTAGAATCAAAATTATTGACAAAAAAAAATTGTCAAATGAGATGTGTTTGGATTACGAAAATTACGAAATTATCGATAGAATAAAAAGATTTCGCGAATCATAACCATGATATAATATATTAATTACGAAATTACACAACCCCTATCAAACCACCATTGTTCTTTTAATTGGTCTATCCAATTAACTATCATCTTCATTCTTTCTCTAACGGATCTTTCTTCTAGTAATCTGTATTTTTCATTTTCGTCGATAGGAATTACAGAAGCGACCCAGAAAGAAAAATCGGAAGGATCATTAGGCATATCACCATATGTTGAGTTTAGTCGTTGTAGTAACCATGGAGCATACCCATTTCTCAATGATTCAATAAAATCACGAGCTTTACTAATAAGTTCAGAAATTGTAGGTTCATAAATTACAGGTTTAGAAGGATCTCTATTATTAACTTCAGCTACCCTTACGGCTTCTATTTCTCTTGCCAATTCTTCTTCAGGAGAGATATCATCTATTCGTTCAATTTTTCCAATATCGTAACCATCTCTCAAACCTCGTTCAATTACTTTAAATCTAAAAGTACCAACAGTTTCAACTAATGAACGACCATCATTTAAAAATTCCGTGGAACGAATTTCCAGCATAGTTCCATATTCTACATAACTATTACCACGTTTAAGTACCATGCCAAATTGTCTTTGACGAGATTCTAAACATCTTCTTATCATTAACCTATATTTTGGTTCAAATATATGAAGAAAGCATGGCATCTTAGGAAAGACCAAAGAAGTAACAAAAATAGGAGTATCTTGAGTATCATCATAAAGTTCATTACGAGCCGATTGCCTACGATCAGCAAGTAAAGCAGGATATAATTGAGATATAAAAATATTAACAGTCTTATTAATTGGTTGATTTAAGAAAGAATTATAATTATGAAGTTGATATCGACATAGTGGACATCTATCACTATGATCCAAAGAACGAGTTAAACAAGGTTTGCAATAAGTATGACCACAAGGAGTAGTTATAGGATCCATGAGAAGTTGATAACAAACTTGACATTCCAATTCTTTTAATAAAAGTTCCTCTTTAAGATGAGATAAATCGAAAGAACTAGGGAAATCATCGTCATCCAAATATTCACTCATACACTCATCATTGCTAGTGTAATCATCACTAGCGTAGTCCTCGACAACATTAGTTTCTACTATAGAAAACCCATTATTTTCACGGGGAGAACAATCGTTATCATCAACAATATCATATAAATGATTATAACGATATTGTACTTGTCGACGTGGTTGAGTAACATGTGGAATAAGATCAGGTAGCTCTCTTCGACATATATCAGTTAACTTGCATACAGTCACATCGCTTCTTGTATCAATTCCATGAAGGCGATTACAACCTATTACAGGGCATTCAAACCTCTTATTTGCAGATGTTGAAAGACACCTACTGCAAAATGTATTTCCACAAGGAAGGGTAACAGGGTCGGTAAAGAGACATCCACAAGACGGACATGTAAGTAATCGAAGAATCATATAAGCATCTACTTCTGAGTCATAATCTTGCTCAGCAGAAAATGAAGGTGATGAATATTGCTCGTCATCGACGGAATTTAGTAAATTTACGATATTCATATCTAGTCTAGTTTAATAGAACTGGTATATGAAAGAATAGTTACTTAAAAAGAATATAAAAAAGTGATGTAAGTAATGATGGTTTTTTTTTTTTGGTTCGTTTTTGAAATAAAACCTCTAAATAAGAAAATTATTATTATTAAAAGATTCGATGATTTATATCGAAATTACTTTTTTTTTATAATATATACTGTAATATTGTAATATATAGTAGTATAGTATATATAATACACTATCAGATTATCTCTACGAAAGTAATGTTTTAAATTTTTTTTTTTTTTTTTTTTTTTTACTTGCAAAATTGCCTATATTTATAGAAAGACACTATCAATAAAAAATTATAATTATTTTTAAATTATTTATGAACCAAATATAAAAAAAAAACGCTGACCTAAAAAATTCTAATAATTACATAATTTAATTGTTTGAATTTATTTATTTATTTATTTTTATTTATCTGGGCTGTTGAAAGCCCAGAACAATTCTATCATCACTGGCATGATCTCCATTACATAATATATATATATATATATATGTAACCCGGAGATATTTATTTACCGATTCTACATTACTATTATATACTATATATTATAAAAGGATTTCACACTTTTTTTTTTTTTACACACAGTTTGATGCGACACAGAAAAAAAAAAAAAATTTGAATTCCAAGTTCACTGGACAAACCTTTGATCATCAATTCGCAAATGTCATAGTAAAAAAAAAAGGCTTGTATTTCTCTTAAATACCACCAATCAAACTTAAATACAATAATAAATATATATATGATGATTGCCGAAGCATGAATTGTGGATCTGGCTCGATCGGTGATTTTTGATTCATGTTATTCACCATCTCATCATTTATCACCTGTTATCATGTTTATTATATTTCTTTATATTTCTTTTTCTTTATAATTCTTTATAATTTATAATTAGAATTGAGAAAATATATAGGTAACATGAGACATGAGACATGGGGTTTATTCGAGACCTACTCTTTTCCCTACTCTTTTCGTTTAATTCATTCAGAACCATAGAGGTCCATAGAGGTGTATAGTACATACAGTACGAGGAAGAAATCACATTATTACTATTTATTATTGAAATGAAAGAAATGACGTTTCGGAATCCGGAAAGTAATGTGAATGTGTATGCACGCATTCATTTGAATAGCTTATTTATAATCGGACTGTGATGTTAGTGATTTGGAGGCTTATGTAAACAACATCATTCTGTCTATAAGATGCACGTTCTTGTTTAAACCTTTTCTGATTCACTTTGGTTGGTCTTGTGAAAAAGGTAAATGACAGCAATCGATCACAAAAGGCACAAAAGGGAGGACAATATAAATTATAAAATTTTTTATTATTGATAACCCAATAACTTTTATGATATGTTATCTTATCACTAGTCTGGATCGTGTTATTGCATTATCATTTGATAACATCGAACGTTCCAAGTTATGGAATGTTATATAAATATGTTTCAACTGTTTGGTTGAACCAATGCGAGTTTTCGTAATAACATTAGCTCAATCTGGAACCAGCATTTATTTACAGATATTTTTTTTTTCGCACGGAATAATATGTACATTTGAAAAACAGGATATTACACTTTCGAGGATAACACTCGTTAATCCCAGTCAACTACAGAACTAAGCTAAAATCATATGATCACAATCAAAAACTCGATATTTCAAGAGCGAATTGCTTTGCCTTTACCGATTACCGATTTTCCAAAAAGTTTAGCACAATCCCTGCTTACGAAATGCTTACATACAATTAAAATTCAAGTCACGATGCTTTAATTTTACCATTTCAAAATAAAAATCACAATGCAAAAGAACGATACCTTTTTTTATTTTTCCTTAAACAAAAAAGTTATTACTTTATTTTTACTATATTAAAATAAAATCCGGTCATACCGTTCATCCATTACACAAAATAACTTACATGGCTGAATGCAAATATTTATTTGTTTTTCCATGCATTTATTCATACGCCCAACGGCCACATGTGCATGTATGTATAGGATCTCGAATCGTCTGGACACAACGATCTAGGTCTCGCCTGGTGATTATCACGAAGATCATTTTACCTGCTTAACAATCAAAATCCAATACTTTTTATAGTCATCTTGTGATTCGTATAAATTATTCATTAACTAGGGATCCTAATGTGATCATTGTCTTTTTGGTTCTTTCCGGATCCTCAAATATAACTTGAGTTCTTCTTTTTCTTATTATTATTTATTACTATTATTATTATTCTCTTTCTTCTTTTTCTTTACCTTTTTATCCAATAACATCCCTTGAAATTTTAACGTAATAAAAAAATTTTGTTAACAATTAATACTGTATTAATACTGTGTTAATACTGTATTAGTACTGTAATAGGGTGAATAGTTTCCTTTATTTATTTTGTAGTTTCAAGACGTTTAAAAATGGAACGTTCTTTGTGACACAATATAATTCGATAATAAATAATTATTATCGTTATTATTATAATCGTTGTTATTATTATTGTTACTACGTATCATTTTTTTATTATTATCATCATTATATCCTTATTATTATTATTAAAGTCACGAGTTCTTTTTAAGTGTTACGGTTAAAAGTAATGATTTGCTGTATCCTTTTTAATCCTAAAATTTTAATTTTTTTTCTTTGTAAATTTTGTGAAATTCATTTCCTATTTTCGACACATCAAATGCAACTTAAAAAAGTTTACCGTCATTTTATTATGATTGTTAAAAAAAACTCAAGAAATTCGTATAAAAAAAAAATCGTGATGATATGATGATACATTCCGCTATCGGTTCTTAGCATTTTGTCGAAAGTCGATTGATCACCAGATTCGTGCAGATTTTTCTCAATTTGACATTTAATGTGGCTGAAATTAGCTTTATATCACTGCTGCACCGTATCAGTCAGTTCAAGAAATCGATTGGATAATTGTTGAATCTCGTGATATTAGATATTATCAGATATATCAGGTATATATATCGTATACGTATACAGGAAGTATATCGTATTTACTATATTTACCATATTTGATATACAGGACTAACGTTATATATTTTTATTAATATTTTTAAAAATATTTGTTAAATGTTCTATTTATCGTTACTACGTTTTAAAAATTTCATCAAAATATATAAACTAAACGTCATCAATTTTAATCACTTGATCATCACAATTTTTATTCATATAAATACAAGCCGCAGCCCATTAAAAAAATATTGCACATCTTTTTTTCCCACAACTTATCAAAACTTATCAAAACTTATCAAAACTTATCACCATATCGATAAACCTTTTCTCTTTAACCAAATTTACTATTAAAAAAAATTTATTTTTTTCTAATCTCTCTTAACGTTAAAGCGTTAAAAATATCACAGACTACATCACACATTACTAAAATCATATACGTTATATATATATACATTTTTATAGTAATGGATAATGACGCTGTTGACACAACAAGTATTAGAGAAGGTATCTTATTTTATCAAGATGCGGATGGTAACACAGGTTATTATTGGGATTCTGAAGTTGGAATATGTGCTCCATCATTAATACCAACTGAATCTGAATTATGGAAAGATCAAGAAATATCAGGTGATACTCCAGATATTGACGCAATAAATTATCAAAGAATTGCTCAAAGAATGAATCAAAATCGTAAAGAAAATAATAATTTTTCTCAAAATGAAAAATTTAATAAGAACATTATTGATAATTTATCTTCGTCATCTCAAAATGATCATTTTGTTGAACCCACGACTGAATCGTTAATTGAACCTGTGGAAAGAATGTCACTATATCCAACCATAATTCCGCAAAGCCCCTCTTCACTCGTTGAACCTGTTCAGAATTTATCTTTGAATGATCCCTCTTCATTAAATGATTCTTCATTAAATAATCAAGATCATGATGATAACAGCAATTTTAATTTTTATCGTCAAGAATCGTATTTATTAACAGATTTTTTCTCCGATTACGAATCTTTCGAAGACGATCGAGGTGATTTAGGTAGTGAAAATGATGAAAATAATAAGTTTGGTGGAAATAATAATAAGTTTGGTGGAAATAATGATAAGTTTGGTGAAAATAATGATAAGTTTGGTGAAAATAATAATAAGTTTGGTGAAAATAATAATAAGTTTGGTGAAAATAATAAGTTTGGTGATAGTTCAAATGATTTCAATGATATCACAATGGGTGAAAGAAATATTGATTTTGAACCACCATCACCGACGTCTACACGTGATCCAGAAAGTAATTGTCCGACATTAAGTCAATCAGAGTCTGAAGCAATTGCTTGGGAATATTTGCAACATTTTGTAGGTCGTGAATTTCAAGATGAATCTGGATTGGATTATGGTGAAAGATCTCGTGGAAGAATTTGGGACGATGAAGAAGGAATGGATCCATCAGAAAATCATTAAAAATATTAAAATATTAGTGGTGCACTTGTCTTTAATTTCGGATTTTAATAATAAATGAATTTTATGCATGTTATATGTCGTAACATTTTATTATGCTGCATTTATGCTTCTATGACATCACTGTCATATATAACAATCACATAAGCATTCACAATGGTGATAAATTATTAATTACTATATTATATCAATTTATATTATATATTATATTATATTACTATTGTTGGGAATACTAGCATATACGTATAGCCGATAATTTTTGTAAATTTACCACGTTTAATCATGTTAAATTACTGTATATAAAATGACATAAAGTAAATGTAGTGTGACATAAATTATTTCTTGTCTATTCGTTTTTTTTTTTTTTTAACATCGTAAATAAAATAAAAAAAAATTGGATCGAATTAAAAAGAAATATATTTTTACTTTTTTTTTCTTTGTATATATAATATTAATTCGGATTTTAGCGTTAGATATATTTAAACCGTGCATGCCAACACAAATGATTAGTTAAAAGGAAATTAAAAGTAGTGTCATGTTCAAAAATAAATTGATTGTGTACGACAATACCTTGATTAATTATTAATTACCATTATTATTATGATTATGATTATTATGATTATTATATTATATTATTATTATTATTATATTATATTATTATTATTATTATTGTTATTATTATTACGTATTAGTTTTTTTGTTTGAAACTGAATCGTGTTCTAGAACGGACTATTAAGTTTTGTAATCAAGAACCGGTTTTAAGTCTATGAACCTGTGACATATCTTTGTTTTTCCAATATAAAGTTCTATTTGACCCAAAAATGGTGTTATGAATTTTGATTCGTTTTTGGTTTGTTTTTTTTTTAAGAAATAAAAAAAAAAAAATTCTTTTTTAAATACGTATATGTACATAAGGTACTTGTGTATGTACATCCAAAAATACCAACACCCTTTGTTTATACGTATGCATTCAAACGGATATACTTTTATTCAGGATACCAAATCGGGATATTACATTATTTAAGCTTTGCCTAGATCGTTACGTGGCGTTACGGCAGGGTTCTAGAACCTTATTAAAGAGAATGAATTGTGTGCATGTGTCAACTGAATGGTTAAACACTGTGATGGTAAATCAAAAAATTTATGTTTACATCAGGGTTGGTCAAATCACTGGTCGACCAAAAATTCGTTGGTCAAACTGGTCTGGTCAAATTGGTCAAATGGCCTAGTCTATTAAATAAATAAATTTAGTATACAAAGTAAATATAATATAAATATATATATGCATATGTATACTATATATTTAAATAACCTTTGACCAATTTGACCAATACTAAACCCTTTGACCAACTGGTCAAATTGGTCAAACTGGTCTGGTTAAGCTTGACCATTGACCGGTCCGTGCCAACCCTGGTTTACATGTATAAAAATTATATATATTATACCGTATAAATTAAATGGTGATCAAAATAACGTAATTTTATTGATAACTCAAATCTTTTGTAATTCTGTAAAACCTTTGTAACATTGAAAATTTTATATATGTTGAAAAAATTCAGTGATTGTTTGGAAAATTATGGTTTGGTTGGTTTATTAAAAAATTTTTTGATTTATTGAAATATCAATTTGACACGGAATATATAAAATGTGTGAAAATTTTGACAAAATTGTCTTGTTTAAGATCAAGTAACACGGACCACCTAAGGCACGTTTTGAGTTTTAAAATATAAATTATGTAGCAAGTTATAAATAAAATTCATTTATATATATAATATATATATTTATATTACAAAAAAAAAAAAAAAAAAAAAAGTTTAGATTTTAGGTTCGATTATGGTCTTGTATTCTTTCTGCATTATTTTTTACATTATTTTTTAATTCATAGTATGAAAGAACGAAGAGAAAAAAAAAAAGATGTAATTTTTATAAAACAGTGGTAAGGTTGACCTGTCAAATATTATATTCATGATTTCAAAAAAAGATATGATTTCAAAAAAAGATATAATTTCAAAAAAAGATATAATATCAAATAAAAAAAAGGAAACTATTTATTCATAATTATTCTTTTTTTTACAGCAATGAGTAGTACTTCATATGCTGTCATGACAAAAATTTATACAATATAAAAAGAACAACGAAAAAAAGGATCGTATATATTTGTCATCAACTCAAATATAGTTAAAAGATGGGATGATATAGACATGGGATCGGAAATTTTTTTTAAATGCGATTACCGTTACTACGTTCAGCTATGATCAGTCAGTTAAAAGTACTGTAAGTACTGTACTGTAAAAGGAGTATATAATTCAGTAATTATATATGCTCATTTAATTTTACTCATTTTTTAAAATATATTCGGAAAAGGAATACTATATTTATGTAATAAATTGACCTGTGATCTATAATCACGCGTTTTATTTTGTTAATGTACTATAATATACTGATTTTGGAATTATAAGTGCCATAGCCGAAATAATCAAAATGTAATGACTAAACGTAATGGCCAGGATTAGTTATTCATACTTTAGTCTTCTTTAATTCAATTTGTCATTCTAAAAAGTTAAAAGTCTCTTACATCAGTCCGAGAAACAGGTTTAAGAAAGATATGCGTCGTTAAATAATAATTACTTACGTAAATATTTATATATATATTGCATTACCAATCCCTTAGTTAGTTTCCCAATTCAATAAAGTATTTTATATCATTACAAAATCAAGGAACGCATATCAATTATGTATTATTAATTATGTATTAATGCGCTAACCCTACAACGGTAATTTATAGCAAAAGATTCTCCTGATAAATTGATAATCTATCTTAAAACCCGAGACTTTCACGAAGGATCTAATCATTCATTTAAAAATTCAATATATGTTTAATGCTCAATGTATGCTAAATATATGCTCAATGTATGCTAAATATAAGCTAAATATATGCTCAATGTATGCTAAATATATGTTCAATATATGTTTAATATATGCTAAATATATGTTCAGTATATGCTAAATATATGTTCAACAATACATGCTAAATATATACTCGATATGATGGTGTATGAACTTTTTTTTCTGCTTATACTAATTATGTATGCAAGAAGAAAAGTAAATCACTCAAAACAAATGAAAAGATAACATATAATGGGATAAACTTTTTAAACTTGAAACACATTCAGAAACATGTATGTAATTCATATTATTTACATTTTTTTACATAAAAGGACAACCTTAAAATAACTTGTCCAAAAGTAAATTATAAATACCCAACCGAAAATGACGGAAATAAGTAAAGTTATTCAGGAGATTCACATATGAGTTGATTCAAATTCTTGGCCAAAAGAATAAGTTTCTTAAATCTATCTGTTTCAAACATTCATTCAAGTCTTTACAAAAGAATAAAAGGATCATATCATGCGTCGCATTGCATTGCATTATTTTAATCATACATAAATGTTACATTGATTGATTTAATTTCGGTTTATACCGAATATATTACAAAGATTTTTTTCTCAAACGGCGATTGTTTGAAGAGAACGAAATCTTTTTTAATTAAAGACAACAGTAGAATGTCACACTAGCAACAATGGTATCAATGGTATCAATGGTATCGTTGGTATCGTTGGTATCGGTAATGTCGAAAAATAGAGATAAATTACTGTATAACAGATAATAGACCGAGCATTTATACATTATATTCATAGTTTTTATCTTGGGAAAATAATTTTATTAATACAAATGACCAGTAAATGTCATCCATTGAAGCTTATCGCCAAAATTTACATGATATAAAAAATAATGATTATTTTGAGTGTTTGATACGTACAATATGTTTATTTTGAGTGTTTGATACGTACAATATGTTTATTCTAAGCACATAATCCAAAAAAGCTAAATGATAAATCAAAAACGGGAGGTTACATCCGACCTTGGGAATAAACGAAAAAGATCGTCTAATCATGTGAAGGTGTAACTTTAATCATTTAATTATTCATCAGTTTTTTCATGATATATATATACGTCATAATGTTGTGAAACATTGAATGAACAATCGATGATTTTTTGATCACTCGTTCAATTTTGGATTCGTTAAAGGACAAAGTTTTTCTCATTTTTATTTACCAAGTTAAGCCATTTTAAACTCTTTTAGAATTGATAATCTTATTTGTTAATGCATTATTCTTCTGTTCTGATTTACACAATTCCAATTACAGAAAGTTGGGCGTTCAAAAAACTAGACTCGTAATACTTTAAAAAATTCTCAAAGAAAGCTTACGTCATTACAATTTCATAAATAATTATTGTATATAATCAAAATATAATTAATAAGTATACACGTAATACGTAATAATTGATGGTACAGTAACATTTAACATTATTAATAAATGAAGTTTATTTATTAATATGTTACATATATATGTAATAACTATAATTCCGAAAAAGATCTTTTTTAATCGCGACAACAACATATAGACAGCATATAGACAGCATATAGACAGCATATAGATAGCATATAGATAGCATATAGATAACAATACAAATTATTATTATACTCATTCTATAATGACAATAGGATTAATGAAATTGAATTAATATGAATTAATGAGAAAATTATACCTTTATTAACAAATAATAAAAAACCACGTTCCATTGTTTTCCTTAGCGATCAAGATTTTATGTTAATAAACCAACTCATGCTTTTCCGTATTTATTCATACATAAATTAATCATTTATTTTTTTTAAAATAAAATATATAGTTTCAGAAATATAGTTTCAGTAGTGCTACGTGATTACCACCTTAAAATTATTCACGATCTTCATATATTAATTCCCTGCATAACTTTACAATCGGTGAGCATTCCTTTAAAAGTATTTGCATCTCCGAGATTTGATAAAAAAAATGCACGAGCTTTCCTTAAAGATCATCATTATTGATAAAAGAACAAAGGTATTTAGTTAATTAAAAAAACTTTTAAATTACGTGGTTACTTTGTACTACATAATTGGATATACAACTCCTTTTCATGTTAATTGGACTTTCCTTTTAATTCAACTTATATAATGGATTATATAATAGATTACTAGCCTAACTTATAAACAAATAAATATACGAAATATCATGGGGATTTTTTTTTTTAATTATCCTCGAGAAAATAATCACTATATAACTATATAATTATTAAATTTGTAAAAAGTTGACCTTATAAAAACAGTACACAGATAGTATATATATAAATAGCGTCTCTCAAATTCTGGCACAAAATACTTGTGTGCATAACCCCACAAATGCACTTTTTCTATTGTTCTCTAAATGCATGTTTTTTAAAATTTGGACCCTCCCTATTCTCGCCCAAATTTAAACGCCTCTATTCGACTAGAGGACAGATTGTATAAACAGCGAATAAACAGCTGCAACTTGCCAATTTTGATTGCACCCCAATATTTAAAGGGGATTGTTCTATCGGTTATGATAAGATTTTTATTTGAAAGATATATCATCTATCGAGATCAGTGGACACAGTGTTGATGTATTGTTGATTTAATTGGCGAGTTCTAATATTTAATTTTTAAATTTAGGGTACTTTTAGTGACGTACACACCAATTGACTGTCTAATAAGAATGACCAAAAAAAAAAAAGGTCTATCCAATATAAGTATTAAATCTAGACTAAACATTTGAGTGATAAAACCGGAAATATTGTATTTTAAACCTTGGCTCCATTTATTAATTTATTCAAGGTTTAGCTTCTAGAACTCGGTGTTTGCTAATTAAATAATAATACGATTTGTTGTCAGAATAATATTAGTTAAGCGTGATTTTCAATTTTCTCGATACACATACACAGATCGCTAGCAGACGTTGACTAACATATCATATATATATATGGTATATATGTTGTACCCTGGGAAACGGAACAGTCCTAGACGAGAATTTTGTAATTTTGGCCAACATTATACTAACTAACTAAAACTTTGAAATTTTTTTTTTATTTTAAATCCTAATTCTAACTCTAAAGATAACACTAAAGTTCTAGTTCTGCCAAAATGATTTGTAAAATTCCCATCTAGGGCAGTCGATTCTGAATCGGGACGATTCCAACCTGGGGGTACGACATATATACTTGATTTTCTAACCAAAGTAAAAAGATAAATCTCGGATCATTAAACTTATTAAAAAAAATTTTATATAAAAGTTTCCTTTTTTTTTTTTTTTACATTTGATCATAATATCCGAATTTATCCTTATTTTTCTCGTGCATTTTAATTAATGCTGCTCATCTTTATTACCTAATATTATGGCTTCGTCTTATATACGCACATATTTTTCTGAATAAGCATGAACGGAAAAATTTTTTGTGGACGATCTGACTATTTGATTTTACTTTTAATACGTATATTAATATTAATATACTACGTTAATATATTTTGTTAATAACAATTAACTATAATATTATCATAATATTACAGTTTTACATTAGACATTAATATATTGATATTAATATATTGATATTAATATATTGATATTAATACATATTGATATTAATACCTATTAATATCAATATATTAATGTTAATGTAATGCTGTAATAACATTACTATTATGCTATATTTTACAAAGTCAAAGTATAAAATCATAAAAGTAACGATTAGCAAAGATTTGTCTATGTCATCGTTTATAATAAGTATTAAAAAAACGAGGTAATTATTTAGTACTTTTATTTTTAGTAAACTTTATTTAAATTTTAAATTTTGTTTATAGGATGATCATACTGGATAATATTTAACGACCTAGATTTTACGGTAGGGCAATAATAATAATAATAATAATAATGTATGTATGTATATTTTTTCAACTTTAAGATTATTACTTTAAACAGAAACCAATTATTTTATTTTATTTAATATAATTTATTTTATATATTTAAAAAGAGAACGTGTAAATTATTACCATTTAGAAAGGATAACGTAAATGACCGACGATAACACAAAATTTTAAAATCCAATCATCATTTTATCCGGATTTCTCAATCTGGATATCATACCGATGCCCGAAAATTATCCTTTTTTAATCGATATTTTCCAATTTGTTTATACAAAATTAAATACTGTATATTTAAAGAAAGTAATCGTGATTCTAATTTTTTTTGAACTTGATCGCTCAACAACATATGTTATTACCACATATCACTACATGTTACTACATGTTACTACATGTTACTATGTGTTACTACATGGTTACATGTAACAAGATATTCAAAAAACCATTTTAAATTTTAAAAGTGCTATTTCACAAAAACTACGTCTGTTTATATGGACTCACCAAGTAGAATTTTTAAATTGTAACTGTATCAAAGCTATTACAGTCTATATCTCAATGAACTTTAAAGCTATATTTCAATAATTCAAAGCGAAAAGAAAACTTGAAATTTTTTTATAAAGATACTGTATAAGGTTGTAAAAGTTTTTTTTCATTATTGAATCATTTGATTTTTTTAAGTTCGTGTTCATATTACAATATATTGTTATGTAATTAGAATTTTTTTTCAACAACTAACATGATATTACATGATATTCAATTATGTAAACAAAGGTTTTCATGTCAATCTCCTATCAGTTCATATCAGTTCATATCAGTTCATATACATACATCATAGCAAGCCACTTTTGGGATTTCAAAAATTTAATAAATCTCTGAAAGTTCAGGTGACTTTATTCTTAAATATGGTGCATGAACTATTAGAACTATTAAGAATGAGGATGATATATTATGTATTTCATTTAAGCGTCGAGTGGATCTTATGGAGTACAAAAAAGTAAAATTTCATATCTCATTAAATTGTGTAGAACCCAAAATAATGGTGGAAATCAACTATAATTTTATTCAACTAATCATTCGACTAATCTTAAAGTTGACCGACTATTAAATAAGTCCATATAAGTCTATTAAACATAAAGATCCATGAACTTAATTTCGGATTATTTCGGATATTTCACAAGAGATTCGTTCATAATCTACCTCGGAACATGCCGGACGATTTTACTTATTACAGTATCGATTTTAAGTGAAACAACTAAAAATTTTAGTCGATTCCTATCACTAATCCAAAGGTATCTTGGATTTTACTTTTTTTGCATGAAATTTTAATCAAATTTACAAAAAAAGCATATGAATGTTTCGAAATTGAAAATTATGAGCATATATTGTATAATTTCATTTAAAGTTATTACATAATCAAAAAAAAGCCTACCCTTTTTTTTTTCTTTACGTATATCAATTTTTTTTAATAATACTGTATCGAGGTTTTCATTTTATTATATCAAAATAATACATATATTTGTGAAATTATTAGTATTATTAGTATTATTAGCAGTTAGAAACCCTGAAAACTAACAAAAAGCACAGCATGACATCACGTAGTCATCACGTGTAATAAAATTTTAGTCCCCCATTTTTTGATGGTGTTGAAGATTGTATTACATAAGCATTAGCAAAGATTTTAATGATTTACATTTTATTTTCCAAAAAGATAGATCCAAACAGAACACAACTCACAAAATGATAAACCACATTTTAATCTTCGGATGTTCCCCCTTCACTTTTAAAGTATAACATGTATCGTCAGCAAACCAATGAATCAACAAAATCAGTATATTGTGTACAAATTTGACTAAATAAAATAGATGGCAGTAGACTAAAAAGATCATTTGTTTACGTAATATAATGCGTTTGATTTAGTAATCAAAAAAAAAAGAATGATATCATATGCTTTTTAAATATCCAATATACAGATATATAAAAATCTATTTAAACTAGTTAAACTTACTTGGTTTAAACCTCTTGATAGTCCCTGTGATGTAATACGTTCTTTATAAAAGTTTTACCTCTAACAATCATTTTTCAAAATACATTCATTTATGATATATATACATTTTCGTTC